AAGAGATATTCTGACCTTGTAATCCTTAAGGGCAGAATCTGTTTAATGTATGCTATGCTGATTAATAACATTGTTGATGTATGCTTTTGCTGTGAAGGTATAAAATAACAAAGAGAAATAGGAGGGCATCTCAAACAGCTCTTTGAGGAGATATCTCCACTATTCTCTGGAATTGCTGGCTTTTCTGTAAATAAAGAAGGAATTGTTGATCTCTCATCCACTTCTCCATTGATTGGCTTGGGTGACAGGCAGATGGACTCCTTGGTCCAGGAACAGAGAAAAAGCCAATGCACATACTCTGGCCTCTTCTTATAAGGACTCTAATCCCATTGCCATGAGTGCTCATTCCTCGTAACCTAATTGCCACCCAAAGGCCTCATTTTCAAATACCATCACAATGGAAATTAGGGTTTCAACATATAAATGAAGTGGGGGCAAAATATTTAGCTTTTACTCTGTATCAGTCCAGGTTCTCAACAGAAACAGAACCAATAGGAGAGAGACAGAAAGAGAGAGAGAGGTAAGGATATATTGTGAGGACTGGCTCATAGAACTTTGGAGGCTGAAAATTCCCAAGATCTGCCTCTGCAAGCTGGAGACCCAGGACAGCCGGAGGTGTTGTTCAGTCCAAGTTTGAAGACGGAGAACCAAGGGAGTCTCAGTGGGGGGATAGGAGAAGACTGCCGTCCCAGCTCAAGAGGTCAGGCAGAAGGGGCAGTCTCCCTTGCTGTGCCTTTTGCTCTAGTCAGGCCCTGAGCAGATCGGATGAAGCTGCCCACATGGGAAGGGCCGTCTTCTTACTCAGTGCACCACTTCACATGCTGATCCCATCCAGAAACACCCTCACAGATGCACCCAGACATAATGTTTAGCCAAATATCTGTTCACCCCATGGTTCAGTTGAGTCGACACAATAAAATTATGCATCATAGTAGATGACAGTGTTCAGAAAGGACAATGAAGAGTGTAAGAAATCACAAGGATAGAAAAAAAAAATGCCTCATATGGCTGTCACCTCCAGTTCCTGCCTTTTCCACTTCCAAAATTACTGAATGTAGTTCTGACGGGAGGGGAGGCCACCTATTGCGAGGATTCTAGAGTGTCTCATTCCCTTGAGTCCCCCTGTCAGAGATAGGAGGGCAAGTGCCCCTAGGATGCGCTTACTTGCATCAACTCTTTTTTACATTATACCCCAAATGTTTTATCCTGGCCTTCCCCAAACCTTCACTGCCAGAATGAACCCAAGACCCCATTAAAATAAAAAAAAAAACCTATGCAAGTGACTTTAACAGCTCTGAGGAGATAGTAACAAGACCCAAACTGTGATTAGCTACCCTGTCATGCTTGGCCCCAGACTAAAACCACCAATGGAACCAAATCATTCGCTCTTCTCCCTCCTCCCTACTAGGGTGGAATGACCTTTTCCCTCCCTCTAGGACTATGAATCTTAACTGTGGCATCCAAAGCCTTCCCCAAAGCCACCAAATTCTCATCATTTTACAAAGACCACTCCAAGATGCTGAGACTAACACACAGGTAGAGCCTGTCTTGGGACACCCACACTCCCGCCTCTCAAACACATAATTGTTAAACAGAGCATGTTTCCTGCTCATCCTTTCCCATGATATCTGCTACTCCCCTGTGACATGGTGTTTCGGTCACAGTATCACTGAATGAATCACAAACAGAGAGTTTCCACTTCCCTGAGAGTTTTCAGTGTGGGTGGTTCCTTATCTTAGTGGCTTTGCCAACTGTTTTTTCAAGCTCAGAAATCATGGCAACCTTTGCAGCATACAGCTCCAGAAAAATTAGCCAAGAAACCCATTAATGTGGCATAAAACAGGAAATACGCTCTGGGCAGATGGAGGAGAAGGCAGATGTATAACGCTAATAAACTGATTCACAGACACCTCGGTGTTCTCAGAGGCTCCTGCTCCAGACATGCTTGTATGTCATCATTGCAACCGTTTGTATTGACAAAATTAGATTTTCATTGGCCAACAGAAAAAGCACTCAATGATGATCTCTACCTTATATGGATTCAGTCTGGATTTCATGGAAGCTGAGGAAGAACTTTAGGGGAATGTGGGTTTTCATCACCTGTATGCAGCTCAATGAATATCCTGCTCACTGTAAAACTGTTTTCCTCAAGCCCATGGAACAGGTAAGTAGCTGCTGTCCTCTCCAGCCTGGGTCTTTAGTGCCATCAGGAGGACCTCAGAGCCACCCTTGCCCACTCTTCAACTCTACGTCTTCTCTCCAGTGCCCCCCTGAATGGTGACCAGAGATATACTTTTGGAAGTCTCCCCCAAAACTAGACAGCTTGCAATGAACTTTGGGAGCCTGGTTTCCGTCCATTGCTGCCATGAGTTTATGATTCTTATTGCTATTGTTACTCCAGCCTCCACAGACAACAGATGAGGAAAAACCAAATCTGTTATCACCACTCCGAATAGTGGAGCTACATAGTTTTCAGAGTCCTAGAAGGGTGAATATGTCATCTTTTACAGTTGGGATCAAAGCTGGACTTTTGTCCTTTTCTCATCCTAAGTAAAAGCAAGTTCTCCACTGCTGGACTTCAGCCCAGTTTAATGGACAAAGACCTAGGCTTTGTGACTTTGAAGCTTTCTCCACCTCCACTCTCTCTTCCAAACCATACGATATGAACACCACCAATACCGGTGGCAGATAGTAGGATGCTCCCAGTCTCCATCCAGGAATGAAAGACATCCCCCCAACTGTCCAGTGAGCCATTAGCTGACTACTCTCAGGTCTTAGCTCTCCTGGGGAATTGCTGCGGCCGAAGGTACCACCTTACCCAGGTCAGCCCTCATCCAATGACTGGTCCACATGGGGATATAAAGGCCCTGCCCCTCCACTCCAACTGAGGACCCCTCTGAAGAGCTATTTTTGTTTCAGTCTCCTTGTGGGGCTGGCTAAGTCCTCCTTTGAGGCTGCATTGCAGCCAAACCAGCTCCACTCTCTGCCCACTCCTACTTAACTTCTCTCCCACACATGAGAGATGCTACACACGGCTTCCCAGACCGTCCCTAGAGGGGCTGAGGGAATGACATGCTTTTTGGTGCCTTTTCTCCTTCTCTGTCCCACCTCTACTCTCTCTGTGTATGCTGCCTGGAGTCACCACCCACTAAGCCACCAGCACCAGGGTCTTGCCTTGGGGTCTCCTGGTTGATGTGGGAGAAACTGCCATGTCCTTATTTCTCTTTCTCTTTCCACTTGTGCTAGAAATTCACCTTCATGGGAGTCAGAGCCCAGAGTTCAGGTGCTGGAGGGGAGCACGGATCAGGAGAGGGAATGTGTCAGAGAGGACAACTGCAGAATAGCTCTGAGGAAACAAGCTCGACAGCCCCAGCAATATCTGGCCAGTGTCTACAGGTTCTATGATGGAATTTGGTAAGGGAATGTAGACTTAAACTGCCACCTGGTTTCCTTTTCTAGCAAGGTAGTTCCATGGGGCCATAATGTGTGGGTTCTTCAGGGGCTGAATGACAATGACAGTGATGGCTTCTCCCAACCAGCAGGTCTGAGACATAATCAGGGAGAAACATTGGGTCAGATCTCTCCGGTCCTTCCAGGTCTATAAAAATCATCCCCATTGGGACAGATTTGAATGCTCAGGCTCAGAAGGGCAAGTCACTTTCCACTGACTCACAGTCAATTAGCTACAAGCCAGAATTCAAATTCAGCCCAAATCACTCCCAAGCCCTGAGCTCCTCACCGAAGGCAGGAAGTCCTGGAAACATGCATATCCCCAGCTACCAAATGGGAAATGGAGCAGGTGGGAGGAAGAGGTTTAGCAGGCTTCCAGAAGCTCTAACAGTGGAAAATTGGTTGAGGAGGGTAGAAATGAGAGAAGAGACAAAATAGCCACAAAATCTTCAAGGTCAGCAGGCGGCCCTGGAGAACTGTTTGGGGCCACTCTACGCAGGCTGAATCTAAGCTGTCCTGGAGAGGGGCTCTGGGATCAATTCTATGCCACCCAGTGTCACTGTTCAAGCATATTCATTGAGCTCTCTTGAGCCATGACCTGGAGAAAGGAAAACAAATACAAAGGCCAGGGCCCTGCCCCCAGGGGGCAAGTGTACTAGTGTGGGAACTGGCAATAAACAAACTGACATATCTCTGATTTCTGATAATAGTAAGAGTTGTGAAAAAGTTATAGTGAGGGTCACATTGGTGGTGGAAGTGGCCAGGGAAGGGTCGCCCCTCCTCTCCTTTCCTCCCTTCTGTCTTCCGACCACCAAGACACGTCTGCCCCCCACCTTGCTTATTTCCAGGTGCCTTGTTTCTCTGACCCTTGAGAACTATTTCTTTCTTTCTACAGGAAAGTCCTCAAGGCATTTCTCAACACAGGTCACTCTCCCTAAGCCTTCTAGAGGATCTGCTAAGAGAACAGAGTGTTCTCCATCTTGAGGATGGGAATGACATCACCTCCCAACCATCAGGACTGTGCTGCACACAGACCAACATGATTGTGTGCCATTTTCCTTGAAAAAAAATTTAGGTCAGATATAAATGGAGAGGACATGAGCACTGAGGCCTGTAGATTTCTGCCAGGTTTCCTAGGGAATGACCTGCGTAACAGAGGCATGGTGGTGTCTTTGTGACACAGCTCGGCACCTAACAGAGCAAGCCGAGCTCACTTTCTTAATAAATAAACACATCGCTTGAGGGCTGGCCCTGGGGAGGGTGTGGGTTTAGTGGAATGTTTTCTATTTCTGGTTTTTTTTGTTTGTTTGTTTGTCTTTTTCATTTTTCTTTTGTAACCTAGATTCAGTTGTAAGATAGATGGTATTCAGAAAGTCGATAGGCTCTAGATAACTATAAATATTTCCCAGCATATGATACCTTTGCAACAAAATTTATTTCCCTCCTTCCGCAAACCCTCATCTTTCCCCCTTGGAGGTAAAGGTGTAGCTTAATATCTACTATTTAATTTACTGCACACCTAATATACGTTAAAATATTTTCTCCAATTCATGTATTTGTTACTCAAAAAATCTTATTTTTGACTGGATTCAGACTTAGAAGTGGAAGCTGTCCGAGAGGAGAGCCTGCACCTCTTGGTAATCTGTTCCTGGCGCTTTTCTTTGGCCTCCTTCATTCTCTTGGCCAAAAGTTCAGCATATTCGGCAGCCTCTTCTTTATTTTTCTTGGTACGCTGTTTCTTCAGAGTAATAAACCTGCATTTATTTTGTAAGACACGGGGAGATACAAGATGCTGAATCGTGGGTGGTTTGGTCCTCGGTTTCTCACCTTCTTTGTTTAAGGCCATTCTTACAACGTATTGGCAAACATCATCTTCTTTAGAGACAGATTGAAAAGTTTGCAGATTCTGCCAGCTCTTTTGGGCCCCAGACGCCAAGGTACCATAGTGTCAGTCTAAGGATATCTTCTCTCCTTTTTTCATAATAACCAAGTTAAGAACCCTCAAATTGGCCTTCGCAAGGCAAGCCCAAACAGACTTGTGCTTCCTTTTCCAGTTCTCCTTCATCTATAACCTATAACAGGAACGCCCCTTCCCCCGCAGCAGGCAGACCCGGCCATGGGTCAAGACACCCTGCTTCATGGGGAAACCTTGCTTCTTGTTTCCACCACTGATTTGTACTCCGTAACCCTTCCATTCTTCACCCAGAGTGTCAGCAGCAACTTCCTTGGCCATATACTTCTCAAAAAAAGTATGAAGTTCATGTTCATCATCCACTTCAAAGAGTTTCTGGCAGCCAGTGGCTGGGAAGGTGATATTCAGCTTCATCCTGAAGTATCAGATCACCTCTGAGGTGCCACAGAAGAGAGCTATTTTCTCTAATCTTTATAAGAGCAAGATAATTAATATGATTTCAATTTCCACTTCACAGATGAGAAAACCAAAGCTCAGAGAAGTTGCTCAAGGCAACCAAAAGAGGGAAGTTCCTGAGCCTGATAAAATGATTTCCCATTGGTTGAAAAAAAGAAAGCCTTTGGTCTCTCTGGATTCTCCGAAAGAAATTAATCTCTCTCTGTTCAAAGTGCGCCTTTAGCAAGAAAAACAATAGGACAGCCCTTCAACTGGGCTTGTTCTTTGGCAAAGGCAGGGTGACCAGGTCATGCTGAAGGACTCACACATCCTAAGTACCTGCCACGTGACCCGCCCAGATAGAGCATGAGGTGCAGCATAACGGGTGGGATGTGAACATCCAAATAATAAGCTATTGAGCCCCTCCCTTCCCAAGCTAACATTTAATGAACATTTAAACACAACTCCTGGTGACTTTATTAAGCTGTCAGAAGAATCCAGAAGTAGGAAAGACCCACCTCTCACCCCTGCCCTCTCCTTCCACCCTCCCCATCCCATCCTCTGTAGCTCAGACTGTGAGCTGCTTGAATATTACTCTGTCCCAAATCTTCCTTGTTTTGCTATTGTGAAGACCCAAAAAGCCAGTGTGTGCAAAGGTGCTTTGTAAATCCCAATTACTAATAAAGCACTATTAGCAACTGCCGCATGAAGCCCTAGCCAGGGTCATCATCAGATGGCTTTTCTCAGCCTCCTCCCCAGGAGCAAAACTCAGTTATAATTATCATCACCATCAGCCAGAGAAGCAGCATGAAATATCTGTAGAACTCTTGGTGTTGTGCCAATCTCTGCTTAGCCCTCTCAAATCTAATGCTATCTCATTTTGTAAACATCCCCGTGGAGTAGGTATTATTATCTCCACTTTATAGAAGAGGATGTTAGGGATTTAGTCCCAAAATAAGCTACTTTGTAGGAACGGCATGTCATATTTTGCTTTCCAGAATTGGGTATTTGGAATGCTATGTCAAGTAACTCCTTCTTGGTTAAACTATAATTTCAAAAGGGTTAGAAGAAAAAGAGCAAGGAGAGGTGCTCTTTGGGAAGCTAAGTCTTTAATAAGGACCCCTTGACTAAGTCCCCAAGCCCTTGAGTCATGGAGCAGGCATAAAACTCTCTAATAGCCCCTCATCACCACAGCATGGGAGGTTCCTAAATGGTTTTGCTCTGCAAGGTCATTTACAGACAATTCAGGATTTGGTGGGACAATAACCAGCTGTTATCTCTGAGTACATCAGGTCAAGGCTGAGGACCACTGAGGCAAAAGCACCTCAGGTCACCCCTGCTGTATCAGACTCTATTTGGTCCCACCCTAGCACCTAATGTGCCTTTGCTCTGTCCAAGCTTTCTGTCGCTCACTCCATTCTGCATCCCCCATATATATTGCACAATAAATCAATTCAGTGTTGGAACTTTACAACAGGAAAAGGCATTATAATAACAGCAATGTTCAAGGACTGAGCCAGGGACTGTTCTACAAGATTTACATATGTGTGGTTGTCAAATCCTCACAGGTATCTAAGAAGCTCTGTTATTACACCCATTTTACAGACAAGGGAAACAAAACCCACTTAGGCTCCCAGCCATAGAAAGACAGAGCTGATGTCAAAACCCAAGAAGGCAAATGCTGCTTTTAAAGACTATGTCAGTTATTCTTAAAGATCATTTTATTCTAGAAAATTCCAAGGATCTAGGAAGTTTGGAGCTGAAAATGTGGTGATAAAGTATTATGTCTCCAGAAAGCCAAGTCAGTGTTCAGCCTAGAATTGGACTACAAATGAAAACAGTGGCAGGTCTTCACCCACAACAAGCACTACCCTAAAAAAACAACTTAGGGATGGAACTGATGCATCCCCTTCACCTAGGAGGGACACGGACACCATTCTCTAGGCCTAAGAAGGCTCAGAAATGAGTTTTATCAATGTTCCATCTAAACTGCCACTCCCCAGGAGGAGCGGGAAGAGCAGAACACCCCAAAACACGACCACATTATTACACAATGGCAGTTTTTAAATCAACTTCTGTCCACAGGCTTCTGGCACCAACAGTTGTGACATACTTTAATTTAGACATACGTTCCACTTCCCCAAACCCCCTGCCCACAGGGAAAGAGAAGCTGCATATAAATTCCTAAACCAGTGACTTTCAACAGGTGTGTCAGGGCACACTGGTGTCCATGAGAGGATCTTAGATGTGCCCTCCAAATGTTTAAAGAACATTAATTAAATTATTTTTGAAAGAAATTCAAAGCATAGTGAGTATATCTTTTTTACACTTTCTTTTGATCAACACAACTTAAGTGTGCCATGAAAGTTTAACTATAGGTTCAAATGTGCCATGAGCTAAAAAAAAGGTTGAAAAACACTGCCCTAGACAGAGAGCCAAAATCAGCAGCCCACTGGAGATCTCCTCCACTGTGCTGGGGACCTTGTTTCCCTTCTCTTATCCATCAATAAAATCTGTTCTGTTGCTTACTCGTGGTGGTCTGCGAAATCATTCCCTGATTTCCTGAGGCCAAACATCTGGCGGGAAAATTCCCCTAACAGAACAAAAAGCCAGAGCCCCCACCTGCAAGGGCAGACCACCTTTGGCAGCACAATGAGCACCACTGCATATGACCTGAGCATCTGCAGTGGGCAACTAAGCTAGGTCTTTAGGGCATCCTTCCCTTGGGTACACCCAACAATCTGAGAAGGAAAGGCTCACCAGGGCAATGGTAAGCTAGTGAGAGAGCAAACTGGGATCAAAGGGCTTTTCAACAGAAGGCCTGAGCTTGGGTTCTGCTATGCTATTCGGGAGTCTGAGATAAAAAGTCATTGTGGCTGGTGAGGGGCCAGGCTAATGGAGCTGAAGGCACAGGCTCTGTCCCAGAGCTAGGCTTCTTCTCCAGCAGAGCATAAATAAGTGGGGGTTCATTCAACCTTGTCTCCAACCAAGGAAGACCCCTCCGGCTAGAGATCTTATCAACACCAAATAAAGACATTTGTTGGCTTGTATAAAAAGGTAGTTCACTATTATGATAAATTCTGTGATTTCAGTAAACCAGAGTATAAACTTAAGTATTAAGCCAGTAAATCTATTTTAAATTAAATTATTCTCTATAACCTGTCTTTAATTCCTATGAGCCAGGTTATTTTCACATAAAAAGATGAGAGCTGACTAGATTCTGAGAAATTTGCCTTGACAATTTTAACTCAAGTTGTTCTCATATTTATACACTAAGCATTTATTAAGTAACTACAACTCAATCATAAATGTCATCATAAGATAACATAATATTAAGAAGGTATAAGACAGTTAAACAAATGCCAAATAGAATCTTGTACAGCAGCAAATAGACCCTCTTAAGGCTGATTACTCTATAGGAGAGGAGGAATTGACCATCAGGAGCCACTCTGGTGAGAGCCCTTCAGGGACCAGGGCTGGGAAGTGACCCTTCTAGACCAGAACTTTTTCCCACCAAAATCTGATAAAACTATAAAATCCCTCCCCAACTCTGCCAGCACCACAAATGAGAAGGACACTGTTTGCTATGGAATCTAAATGGCTAGCAGATTTGCAGAATGAGAACACTGCCTCTTCAGCAAGCACAGACTTGCCAAAAGCAAGCAGGAAGGTCGGCAGTAGAGCATTAGAAATGTACCATATAAAAAAGGCTCTGTGACTTGAAGTGGGGTCTCAAAGTCTACTCAGCGAGGGAAACCAAGGCACCTCAATCTAGATGCCGGGAGTCCACATGGGTCCCTATTGTGAGCGGGACATGAGAGCTGAATGAGGTGGTAGGGACGGAATCCCTGAGCATTTCCCGCTCTTTAGTAGGGAGAGAGAGCGGCTGCTAGACACGCGAGGAGCATACCAGAATTAACTCATTTTCTTTTTGTTAGTTTGTTGTTGGCTATACCTGTCCTTGGTAAAAGATACAAGGGGTGGTTTCAGTTTTTCTCAACCAATCCTTTCAGTGATTCTACAAATCCCAATTTAGAAGTTCTTAGGGCACCTTTGAAGTATCTAAGTGGCATAGACTCAAGTGACAATTCCTGTTCTGATTCTGAGGCTTCAAGTGGGCCCGCTCCAGGTAAGCAGCCAGCTAACTCACAGTCCTTCAAATGAAGAGTGGGATAATGGTAGATACTTGGGGTGCAAGGTCATGGGGTTCAAACATACCAAAATTAACTGGCAGGTGATCACAGCACGCATGTGACGAACAGTGAGCAAGGGACATGTTCTTCACCCCATGGGAAATTCCTTAATGTTGATACAATGACTAACTGACTGTACTGGAGGAAATTGGTTAGAGACCACAGGACATCAGTGCAATGACAGATGAAAAGGTAGAAAAGGTAGATTTAAACCAAGCTCCACCACACGGTAGAGCTTGTATATCCTTGTGCAATTTACTTACTTTGCACTTATTTTGAGTCACAGAGTTCTAACAGGAAAGCTCATTGCCAGGATTTGCCACCCCGCTCTTCTAGTTTGCCGCTGTATTAGTGCTAACTCCCTCTCTCCTCCCTCATGTGCCTGCCTCACAACTCCCATAGATGCCTTAATTTCTTCTCCTTTCATTGTTACTTCACTATTCTTGCAATATTTCATAATGAGTTTTAGAAATAAACACCTGATCACAGAATGAGAAACGCCATTATGACTCCTCTCACATGAGACACTTAATGTAGTCAAATTCCTAGAGACAGAGAGCAGAATGGCTGGGCGAGGGGGACAAGGGGAGGTTAGTGTTTCATGGGTAGAGTTTCAGTTTTCAAAGAGGAAATATTTCTGGGGACGGTTGGTAGTGATGGTTTCCCAACAATGTGAGTGTACTAATGCCACTGAACTATACACTTAAAAATAGCTAATTTTTTTATGCCATGTATGTTTTATCCTAATTTTTAAAAGTAAAAAAAGAGAAAACCTGATTGATTTAC